TTCTTTGCTGAAGTTCAAATAGCTAGCTGTGCTACCTTAACTACTTTACGAACATAGAATAAATGGTATTCAGCATTTGCTGCACTTTAGAATACCTGGAGAGTTTTTAAAAATACAAATCCATATCCACCAGGCCAGGACACCAGGAAAATAGAAAAGAAAAAAATTCTGGGCCCCACCCCAGACTGTGTTCATAATCTCTGAGGTGACACCTGGGCATCACTTTTTTTAAAGTTCCTAGGTGATCCTAATATAACCCAGGGTTTAGCACCTTTGGAGTGGTGAAAGTAACAGTGAAGGGAATAAATTGTTTTTCAGGTAATTCAGAAATATATTTTTAACTGCAAGGTGTTGGACAAAATAAGGAATTACAAATGGCACTGATTTTGAAAATAGTGCTATCAGAGCATATAATGGGGACCCTGTGTAAACTGGAGGATTAGAGAATGCTGCCCTTAGAAGGAGAAATTTTAAACAAAAATCTTAAGAATTGAGTAGTTAAGAAGGTAGGTTCATGTAGAGGAGATAAAGTGTGCAAAATCTTTGTGGGGGTGGGGGCATTCATGGTCTATTTGAAGAATGAAGGAATGGTGGCAGAGTATGGTGAGTGTTCATTGTCATATGCAAAAGTTGAATTTGAACATGGCCAGCGACTAATAAATCCAGACAAACTTTTTCTGGACAAATGGGACAGAACTTTTTGAAAGTTCCCTTATATTTCTCATTTGGTAGAATTCACTAGAGACCAAACTTAGTTGGGCGTGTGTGTGTGTGTGTGTGTGTGTGTGTGTGTGTGTGTGTGTGACAAGAGTCTTACTCTGTTGCCTGGGCTAGAGTGCTGTGGCGTCAGCCTAGCTCACAGCAACCTCAAACTCCTGGGCTCAAGCGATTTTTCTGCCTCAGCCTCCTAAGTAGCTGGGACTACAGGCATGCGCCACCATGCCAGCTAATTTTTCTTATAATATATAGTTGGCCAATTAATTTCTTCTATTTTTAGTAGAGACGGGGTCTCGCTCTTGCTCAGGCTGGTATTGAATTCCTGACCTTGAGCTATCTGCCCGCCTCTGCCACACAGAGTGCTAAGATTACAGGCTTGAGCCACCTCGCCCGGCCTAGTTGATATTTTTTAAAATAAGTTCTCACTATCTTTAGAACTGTAAATCATGGTTTGCCTACCCACATTTCTTAATATTCTTCATACTGTCCAAATTTTTTTAATTGATTCTCCCTAGCATATATGAAGAAGCAAAAGGAATGACAGTGCTTTTAATCATTTCCAAATCACAAATTTAGCCACACTGTGTATTGGAATAACTGCAGGCTCTTTGGAGTGACCAGTTATATTTATATGTAACATCAGGGTTATCCAAAGAGTAGGTCTTGGACCAGCAACACCTGTGAGATCATTAGAATGCAAATGCACAGACCCCAACCTACAAAACGGAATCTAAAGAGATGGAAGGAGCTCAAGAAACCACCTTCAACAAGGTCTTCAGATGATTCTTAGGCATGCTGAAGTTTAAGGAACAACTGCCTAGAACTATTACACATCCCTGCCACAGTTTATAATGCTCTTTAAAAAGCTAACTAAAATTAAGTACTGCTTTTAGAAACTTTAAGCTTTTGTTTTCTTATCTATGGTACAGAACCAATAAACCCTTCCTACAGCACAGTGTCAATGAAGTAATATGTGTTAAAACACTTTGGGATTTGCTAAGCAATGCAGGTGGCATCTCATTTGGTTCTCATACCAAGGTTGTGACATATATAAGTTGTTACCGCTTTTAGCAAGTAGGGAAATGAGTGCCATGGAAGTCATGTGCCTAGCAAGTGTCAGAGCCAAGACTTGGACTTGGTTTTCTGGGAGGTGGTGTTTTCCAAAAAATATTCTCTCTTACCACCACACTTTGGGGAAAATGGTATAGTGGATATGCCATTTGGAGCACTGGAATTGGAAAAATTGTGGCATTAGTATAGCCCTGCCTGGGGTGTTTAAACCTTAGTTTTGTCATCTGTAACATAAGGATAACACCATCTATGTGGTAGGATTGTCATGAAGGAATTAAAGGGAGATCAGATAAAGTACACAGCATTCTGCCTGGAATACCTGGGGCACTGCCTGCCTGTGTCCAGTGTTCTTTTTCTACCACATTCCACTACCTCAGTCATATTTAGTCACATACAATTAAACTACACACGTTGCCCCCGTTCCTTTTGTTTAGAGCACTTACTTGCTGACATTACAAGATGCACAAGACACATCTAGTGTTTCCCTGCCCCAGTCCTAGAATCAGCTATTTCTAGCAAGGAGTCCTAGTTTCTAAAGAACGATATTTAGAAACCAAGATCTGCGTATTGGGTTAGCTTGTTGCTTCTGGGTATCTCAGCTTCATGGTCTGGCAACATTTAAACTCCATATTTTTACTAAAGGTGAGATCTTGCCAGGTGAGTAAGCCACTGTCACATGGAACACTATGCTTTAAAATACTCCAGTAACCCAACTAAATCAAGCCTATAGTTATCCAATCACATATTTGCTTATCTTACATAACAAGAGAGAAAAATTACAACTGTTCCCTCTTTTTCCTCATTACGACGATATCTTATTCTAGCTTTCAGCCCTACGCAATTGCCATATAGGATTGTATAAATGTTTTCCTGGGGCCAGCTGGTAATCATGCACTATAATCCAGCCGATTTAGAGTGAAGGTAATGGCATGCTTGAACCAGAAGTTGGAAAGTAGCCATCGTGCAAGAGTGATGACTGCCATTCCAAAATAGAAAAATTATCTGGGCATGGGTGTGGCAACTGAGTCATAGCTAATTGAGGCTGAGGCAGGATACTGTCTTGAGCCCATGAGTTTGAGGTGAACTATGATAGGCCACTGCACTCTCTACCGGGTACGTGCTTACGCCCTTGCTCAACCATAATAAAATCTAAAAAAAAAACGTTACCTACCGGACAAAATCACAGAACGTGAAATAAATAAAGTTAATTTGACATAACACAGGTACTGCATATCAAATTTAGCTGCCAGATGAAGTAGTACTATTTAGTTAAATGGTAAATCTTAAGTGGACTTATTTAGAAACATAATAAGATTAAAATAAATGAATTAAGCCATCCTGGGAACCAGCGGCGGGAAAATGTCAATCCAGGTCGATATCAAGAGTTCATACCAGGGGGAAAAAAAGTTTGTACAGGAAGAAGTTGTGTGCTATATTTGAAAGAGATCTAGAATGCACAATGCTCGTTCATGGTATTGACCACCCGATTGTACGGGCTCCTGCACTTCGTAGAAAGGAGTCATTCTTGCCCAACCATATAGACACATCTATGGAGTCACTTTAAATAACTGCTTATTACCAGCTTAAACAGAGAAATACAGTTTTGTTACATATAGGGTATTAAACTTTCCACAAGAAATAAGAATATTATGAATTTCTGACATTTCAAACAAACTTGTATTATATATACCACTCACAAAAAAAAAATAGCTACTTTATTCCCTTCTGATCCCTCTGACATATTTACTTCACGAATATATGTCTCTGACCTGAAGCCTCTAGGACTATCTTTGCTGAAGTTATAGCTAGCTGTGCTACCTTAACTACTTTAGAGAACATAGAATAAATGGTATTCACACATTGCTGCACTTTAGAATCACCTGGAGAGTTTCTTAAAAATACAAATCCATATCCACCAGTGCCAGGACACCAGGAAAATAGAAAAGAAAAAAATTCTGGGCCCACCCCAGACTGTGTTCATAATCTCTGAGGTGACACCTGGGCATCATTTTTTTAAAGTTCCCTAGGTGATCGCTAATATAACCAGGGTTTGAGACCACTTTGGAGTGGTGAAAGTAACAGTTGAAGGGGAATAATTGTATTTTCAGGTAATTCAGAAATATATTTTAACTGCAAGGTGTGGACAAATAAGGAATTCAAATGGCACTGATTTTGAAATAGTGCTATCAGAAGCATATAATGGGGACCCTCTGTAAACTGGAGGATTAGAGAATGCTGCCCTTAGAAGGAGAAATTTTAAACAAAAATCTTAAGAATTGAGTAGTTAAGAAGGTAGGTTCATGTAGAGGAGATAAAGTGTGCAAAATCTTGTGGGGGTGGGGCATGCATGGTCTATTTGAAGAATGAAGGAATGGTGGCAGAGTATGGTGAGTGTTCATTGTCATATGCAAAAGTTGAATTTGAACATGGCCAGTGACTAATAAATCCAGACAAACTTTTTCTGGACAAATGGACAGAACTTTTTGAAAGTTCCCTATATTTCTCATGGTAGAATTCACTAGAGACCAAACTTAGTTGGGGCGTGTGTGTGTGTGTGGTGTGTGTGTGTGTGTGTGTGACAAGAGTCTTACTCTGTTGCCTGGCTAGAGTGCCGTGGGTGCAGCCTAGCTCACAGCAACCTCAATACTGGGCTCAAGCGATTTTCTGCTTCAGCCTCCTAAGTAGCTGGGACTACAGGCATGCGCCACCATGCCAGCTAATTTTTTCTATATATATAGTTAGTTGGCCAATAATTCTTTCTATTTTTAGTAGAGACAGGGTCTCGCTCTTGCTCAGGCTGGATTGAATTCCTGACCTTGAGCTATCTGCCCGCCTCTGCCACACAAAATGCTAAGATTACAGGCTTGAGCCACCTCGCCCGCCTAGTTGATATTTTTTAAATAAGTTCTCACTGAACTCCTGACCTTGAGCAATCCGACCGCCTCAGCCTCCCCAAGTGCTAGGATTACAGGCGTGAGCCACCATGCCTGGCTAGACATAGTGTCTTTATTCAACAGCTTGAGGCTGCTTGCTTGTCATGAGAGAAAAATTGCTCAATAAGGGATAACAATGCATTAAAACAGCCTCTACCACTGGTTGGTCTCAGTTTATTGGATTTATGTAAGATGGCCTTTACTATTCAGTAGGCTTAAGCTCCATATCCAGTGGTTTTAGGGAGAGAGGACACCACATGCTCACTGTATCAAATGTCACATATGTCCCTCAAAGGGAAAAATGATAATCTGTTAGTTTGGGGACAAAAACAAATCACTGTGTATCAACAAGTCATTAAATGATTCACATATCAAAGAAATAAGTGACCTCTGGATAGCTGAACACGTGGAGGTTCCTGGAGGGTGGCACACCTGGGGAGGGCACGGAAGCTCTGCACCCCTTCCCCCATACCGCGCCCCATGCTTCTCTTCATTTGTATCCTTGTAGTATCCTTTATAATAAACGAGTAAACATTTTTAAAAAAATAAGTCACAGAGAATCACGTCCCAAATGTGTTTCAATGTTTTGAAATAATTTTTGACTTACAGAAAAGTTGCAGATTTCACAAGTTCCATGTATCTCTCACCCAGTTCCCCCTAGAGTTAACATCTTGTATTACCATAGGACATTTATCAAAACGAAGAAACCAGCACTGGTATGTTGCTGTTACCAAAACTCCAGACTATTTGGATTTTCTTTTTTCTGGTCCTGGATGCGGTCCAGGATGCCATGTTGCATTTAGTCATCATGTCTCCTCAGTGTCCTCTGGCCTTTGACAGCTCTTTGGTCTTTGTTTTCATGACCTTGACAATTTTGAGGAGTAATGGTGAGGTATTTTGTAGAATGTCTCTAAATTTGGGTTTGTCTGTTGTTTTTCTCATGATTAAACTGGGGTTATGGATTTGGGGTAAAACACATAAATGAAGTGCCCTTCTCATATATCAGCAGGTACATGATACCCACATGACATCACTGGTGATGTTAACCTTGACTACTTGCCTAACACCTTTCGTACTGCTCACAAGTTTTCTTGTGTTTCTTGCGCCATCTGTTAAGGATCGCTCACGAGTTTCTCATGTTTTGTGCGCCGTCTGTTATGGACCTCAGATGTCAACACACTGTCTTGTCCATTAGGGAGAGTAGAGGTTTACCGCCAAATCTGAAAATGAAAACATCAAGAATGAAGAAAGATGACATCATATTTTCCAGAAAAAGTGATATTCTTTCTTAGCATAGAAAAACAAGCGGGTTGTCCGGATGATATCAACGATCTATGACACTTCTGTCTCAACAACAGGAAAAGAAATAGAAAAACGGGATTGTTGTAAAACCTGCCTGCATCAAGGAATACAATGCCCACATGAAAGGCGTTGACCCTGCGGACCAATTCCTTTCGTGTTGTTCCATTCTAAGGAAAACGATGAAATGGACAAAAAAGTAGTGCTGTACCTTATAAACTGTGGACTTTTCAATTCATTTAGAGTGTACAACGTCCTCAATCCACAAGCAAAAATGAAGTATAAACAATTTCTGCTGTCAGTGGCAAGAGACTGGATAACGGATGACAATAATGAAGGCTCTCTGGAACCAGAGACAAATCCAGCCCTTTCCCTGGGGGTGCAAGGAGAGCACCTCGGAAAGATCCACCCAAAAGGTGGTCAAGTGATATGAAGCAACATGAACCTATGTGTATTCCAGAGAGTGGAAAGAAAAAGTTCCCTACAAGAGCCTGCAGAGTTTGTGCTGCCCATGGAAAAAGGAGCAAATCTAGATACTTACGTAAATTTTGTTTGGTCCCTCTTCGTAGAGGAAAATGTTTTACACAGTACCATATGTTAAAAAAGTACTAGGAACTTTAGTTGTTTAATTGTTTTTGTAAATAAAAATGTTATAATTATTGAAAAACAACACCTAAAGTGCATTATGATCTGTAGTCATGATGATTTAAATAATGTGCAGTTTGCCCAAAAACATTCGGTCCCTGGCATATGTCTTAGAGATTTCTATGCGATACAAAATTTGTTAAGATGGTATTTGCCAGTTTTCTCCATTCTTAAGTTACTTTTCTTTTCCCTCTTTTACTCTAGTCTATTTGAAAGCCATTCACTAAGTCCAGCCCACACTGGAGCAAGATGGAAATAAGAGAGAATTAAGCTCTACTTCCTAGAGTGAGAAGTATCCACTGACATTATTTGGAATTCTCTTGCAAGGAAGATTAATCTCTTCTTTCCATTTGTTTCTTTATTCAGTCATATATATACGTGTGTGTGTTTACACATATATATAATATCAGTATGTACTCATGTGTATTTATTTTATACTTTGAATTATAACCTAATACCACATTATTTTATTGTTTAAATTGTTCCAGCTTTGGCCTTTGGGAGCTCTTTCAAGTTGGCTGATGTGTCCTTTGACATCCCCCGTTCCTTTTGTTTTAGAGCACTTACTTGCTGACATTACAAGATGCCACAGACACATCTAGTGTTTTCCCTGCCCCAGTCCTAGAATCAGCTATTTCTACAAGGAGTCCTAGTTTCTAAAGAACGATATTTAGAAACCAAGATCTGCGTATTGGGTTAGCTTGTTGCTTCTGGGGTATCTCAGCTTCATGGTCTGCCAACATTTTAAACTCCATATTTTACTAAAGGTGAGATCTTGCCAGGTGAGTAAGCCACTGTCACATGGAACACTATGACTTTTAAATACTCCAGTACCCAACTAAACTCAAGCCTATAGTTATTCCAATCACATATTTGCTTATCTTACATAACAAGAGAGAAAAATTACAACTGTTCCCCCTCTTTTTCCTCATTACGACGATTTAACATTCTCTTAGCTATTTATATTCAGACCCTACTAAGGTACCATATAGGACAATGTTAAAATGTTACCTGGGGCCAGGCCTGGTAACTCATGCTTATAATCCTAGCACTTTTGAGAGGTCGAGGTGGAAGGACTGCTTGAACCCAGAAGTTTGAGAATAGCATGGGCAAGAGTGAGACTGCCATCTCCACAAAAAATAGAAAAATTATCTGGGCATGGTGGTGCGCACCTGTAGTCCCAGCTAATTGGGAGGCTGAGGCAGGAGTATGTCTTGAGCCCATGAGTTTGAGGTGAACTATGATGAGGCCACTGCACTCTAGCCTGGGTGACAGAGCTAGACCCTGTCTAAAAAAAAAAAAAAAAAAAAAAAAAAAGTTACCTAGGTGACAAAATCAGAACCGTGAAATAAATAGAAGTTAATTGACAATAAAAGTACTGCATATCAAAATTTGAGCTGCAGTGAAAGTAGTACTTTTAGTTAAATGTAAAGTCTTAAGTGACTTTATTTAGAAAACATAAAAGATTTAAAGTAAATGAATTAAGCCATCCTGGGAACCAGCTGGCGGGAAAATGTCATCCAGGTCGATATCAAGAGTTCATACAGGGGGAAAAAAAAGAGTTTGTACAGGAAGAAGTTGTGTGCTATATTGGAAAGAGATCTAGAATGCACAAATCTGCTGTTCATTGGGTATTTGACCACCCATTTGTACGGGCCTCCCTGCCTTCTGTAGAAAGGGGTCATTCTTGCCAACCATATGAGCACATCTAGGATCACTTTAAATACTGCTTATTACCAAGCTTAACAGAGAAATACAGTTTTGGTAATAATAGGGTATTAAACTTTTCAAAGAAATAAGAATATTATGAATTTCTGAAAATTTCAAAACAAACTTGTATTAATACTACCACTAAAAAAAGAATACTACCATTATTCCCTTTCTGATCCCTCTGACATATTTACTTCACAAATATATGTCCTCTGACCTGAAGTCCTAGGACTATCTTTGCTGAAGTTCAAATAGCTAGCTGTGCTACCTTAACTACTTCTAGAACATAGAATAAATGGTATTCAGCATTTGCTGCACTTTAGAATCACCTGGAGAGTTTTTAAAAATACAAATCCATATCCACCAGCGCCAGGACACCAGGAAAATAGAAAAGAAAAAAATTCTGGGGCCCCACCCCAGACTGTTTCATAATCTCTGAGGTGACACCTGGGCATCACTTTTTTTTAAAGTTCCCTAGGTGATCCTAATATAACCCAGGGTTGAGACCACTTTGGAGTGGTGAAAGTAACAGTTGAAGGGAATAAATTGTCTTTTCAGGTAATTCAGAAATATATTTTTAACTGCAAGGTGTTGGACAAATAAGGAATTACAAATGGCACTGATTTTGAAAATAGTGCTATCAGAGCATATAATGGGGACCCTGTGTAAACTGGAGGATTAGAGAATGCTGCCCTTAGAAGGAGAAATTTTAAACAAAAATCTTAAGAATTGAGTAGTAAGGTAGGTTCATGTAGAGGAGATAAAGTGTGCAAAATCTTTGTGGGGTGGGGCATTCATGGTCTATTTGAAGAATGAAGGAATGGTGGCAGAGTATGGTGAGTGTTCATTGTCATATGCAAAAGTTGAATTTGAACATGGCCAGCGACTAATAAATCCAGACAAACTTTTTCTGGACAAATGGGACAGAACTTTTTGAAAGTTCCCTTATATTTCTCATTTGGTAGAATTCACTAGAGACCAAACTTAGTTGGGCGTGTGTGTGTGTGTGTGTGTGTTTGTGTGTGTGTGTGTGTGTGTGTGTGACAAGAGTCTTACTCTGTTGCCTGGGCTAGAGTGCTGTGGCGTCAGCCTAGCTCACAGCAACCTCAAACTCCTGGGCTCAAGCGATTTTTCTGCCTCAGCCTCCTAAGTAGCTGGGACTACAGGCATGCGCCACCATGCCCAGCTAATTTTTTCTATATATATAGTTTTAGTTGGCCAATTAATTTCTTTCTATTTTTAGTAGAGACGGGGTCTCGCTCTTGCTCAGGCTGGTATTGAATTCCTGACCTTGAGCTATCTGCCCGCCTCTGCCACACAAAGTGCTAAGATTACAGGCTTGAGCCACCTCGCCCGGCCTAGTTGATATTTTTTAAAATAAGTTCTCACTATCTTTAGAACTGTAAATCATGGTTTGCCTACCCACATTTCTTAATATTCTTCATACTGTCCAAATTTTTTTAATTGATTCTCCCTAGCATATATGAAGAAGCAAAAGGAATGACAGTGCTTTTAATCATTTCCAAATCACAAATTTAGCCACACTGTGTATTGGAATAACTGCAGGCTCTTTGGAGTGACCAGTTATATTTATATGTAACATCAGGGTTATCCAAAGAGTAGGTCTTGGACCAGCAACACCTGCGAGATCATTAGAATGCAAATGCACAGACCCCAACCTACAAAACGGAATCTAAAGAGATGGAAGGAGCTCAAGAAACCACCTTCAACAAGGTCTTCAGATGATTCTTAGGCATGCTGAAGTTTAAGGAACAACTGCCTAGAACTATTACACATCCCTGCCACAGTTTATAATGCTCTTTAAAAAGCTAACTAAAATTAAGTACTGCTTTTAGAAACTTTAAGCTTTTTTTCTTATGTATGGTACAGAACCAATAAACCCTTCCTACAGCACAGTGTCAATGAAGTAATATGTGTTAAAACACTTTGGGATTTGCTAAGCAATGCAGGTGGCATCTCATTTGGTTCTCATACCAAGGTTGTGACATATATAAGTTGTTACGCTTTTAGCAAGTAGGGAAATGAGTGCCATGGAAGTCATGTGCCTAGCAAGTGTCAGAGCCAAGACTTGGACTTGGTTTTCTGGGAGGTGGTGTTTTCCAAAAAATATTCTCTCTTACCACCACACTTTGGGGAAAATGGTATAGTGGATATGCCATTTGGAGCACTGGAATTGGAAAAATTGTGGCATTAGTATAGCCCTGCCTGGGGTGTTTAAACCTTAGTTTTGTCATCTGTAACATAAGGATAACACCATCTATGTGGTAGGATTGTCATGAAGGAATTAAAGGGAGATCAGATAAAGTACACAGCATTCTGCCTGGAATACCTGGGGCACTGCCTGCCTGTGTCAGTGTTTCTTTTCTACCACATTCCACTACCTCAGTCATATTTAGTCACATACAATTAAACTACACACTATCTTTAGAACTGTAAATCATGGTTTGCCTACCCACATTTCTTAATATTCTTCATACTGTCCAAATTTTTTTAATTGATTTTTCCTAGCATATATGAAGAAGTCTCAGGCTTCTATTCTGGCTGCTAACAGACCTGGGGAACAGAGGCTTTTAGCTTTTACTTTCTCTGGATTTAAGACATAAATACATTTTTTCTTTTTTTTTTTTTTTTTTTTTTGTACAAGGACTAATGCTTAGTGTCCTTTTTAAGTTAGATATTGCCCTACCTAGAAAGAAAGAAAACAACTAGTTTTTGCTAGAAAACCATAATGAACTCCTGAAAATACCAAGTACTTAAAAATGCATGTTCTGAAGGGGCTTCGAAGCGGAATTTTGGCCTAGGTAGCAAGGGGCCTAGGTGCCGAGATGGGTTCGAGATTCTCCCTGGACTTGCGTCATGGGGCACGTGCTTGATCATCCCCGGAGTGGCCATGCGTACATCACAAGTTCACTAACGGTGGGCAGGAAAGAAGTATGCACATTTTGATGATTTTTTGATGGAAAGAGATAGGCGCATCTCTGGAGTTAATCGTTACTACGAGTCAAAGGGTTTGGAGAACATTGATTAAAGCAACATTTTCCTGATTGATGAAAAAATAACTCAGTAATGGTCATCTACTCCTGCTAGAAGGTTATACAGTATATTATGTAGCATGCAGTATGTTATATAATGCTTAATAAAAATAAAATGACAGAAAAATCAAAAAAAAAATGCATGTTCTGTCACATCCAGCTCTGGCCTTGTTCCCCTAATGTAGGTGATGCCAACTAAAATAGTAAAGAGACAGGTATACCACACCAGCTTGCTAGCTGGTTAGACTAATTTCCAGTTTTTTTCTTAAGTATCACAGACTTAACCAGCAAAATATAAAGCAGAGAGAAAAAAATCAAAAATCAGGTTAAATTTGAACATCATGTAGGGTCAAAATGTTTTATCTATTGGGAAGAGCAGCAGTGTCACGTGAATTTTAAAAGTTGAACTCTAACCATCTTGGGTCTTGACATGCATGGTTCTCAAGAATTGTGCTACTGTCTGCAAAGTTTGGATGGTTGAAACTTTTACAACCTGTGCAAATGTTTTAAGACTACTCAGAGCCAGTGTTTCTGGTTTTCAAAAAGATTCCATTTTCTCATCACCATGCAGTTTCACTTTGTTTTATAAAAGGAAAGGATCCTTTCCATCACCTTTTTGGAGTTTTTTTTTCCTTTCTTCTACTTTTTAAATAAATAGATCCAATTTCATGATACTGATTTTTAAAATTGTCTTATTTCCAGTCACAGATTTTTGACTCATTTTTCCTTTAAATTACTGGGGCTTTTGTTTGTTTTTATTTTTTGAGACAGATCTTGCTGTCACCCACGCTACAGTGCAGTGGCCTCATCTTAGTTCACTGCAACCTCAAACTCCTGGGCTCAAGGCATCATCCTGCCTCAGCCTCTTGGGTAGCTGGGACTACAAGTAAGTGCCATCATGCCCAGCTAATTTTCCTATTTTTTGTAGAGATGGAGTCTCACTCTTGCTCAGGCTGGTCTCAAACTCCTGGCCTCAAGCAATCCTCCCACCTTGGCCTCCCAGAGTGCTAGGATTACAGGTGTAAGCCACTGCACCTGGCCAACGGGGTTTTATTGAAAAAAAGTCTTCCCTTTTAAACTTAAACTTTCTCAAACTTCCCCACATCTACAAAGAAAAGGTCTCCTAGGGTGAACAACTCAGTTAGCTGGGACTTACCTCAGTTTGAAAACTGAAAGACCCACCTCCCACTAACTTCCCCACCCCAACTCCCCGCCCCAACTTCCCCACAGTGGATAAACTGGGACAGTTAACTCTGGGTGTCACTAAACTGACCCACACTCTTATCTGTGGCCATCATCACAGACCTGGTTGCCCTGCAGGCATCTTCCTGCAAAGATTTTCCTGTAAAGCCACAAAGTAGGAATGGAAAGAGAGGACCAGTGCCGTTGGCACTTTTGCTTCACTTTACACAGTCAAAACAAAATGGGTATATTCTGTTTTTAATAAACCTGGCAAATGGGGTCTCTTCAGTCTGTCTAAAACAGCGGTCGCCAACCTCTTTTGGCACCAGGGACCCATTTAATAGACTGGAAGACAATTTTTCCACAGACGGGGGTGGGGTGGGGTTCTCAGGTGGTGATAGGAGCAATGGAGAGCAGCAGTAAATACAGATGAAGCTTCCCTCACTCACCTGCCACCGCTCACCTGCTGTGTGCCACCCCCACCACCGCCCTGTTCCTAAGTTTCATGAAAGACAATTTTTTCATGGGTGGCAAGATCTGCGGCCTGGTCCCTAACTGGCCAGGGACTTGGTCCCAGTCTGTGGACTGAGGGTTGGGGACTGCAGGTCTAAGATACAGTTATCTTGCCTCTGACATTGAACAGGCAAGACATACTTATAGGAGTCCAAGCACCTGACATTAAAACAGGCTTTAAAAGCAAGTCCTCTTGTTTTCCCTGGATATGGCAGAACAAAGTACCTTAGTTACCATGCTTCTAGATTCTGTTCCCTACTGAAAGATACCAGATACCGTGATAACATTCCCAAATGTTTTTGTTCCCTTGAGGGCTAAATTGTAACTCTACCCAGTATGTCAGATGCTACAAACTAAAGGATAACTGTTATTTAAAACTTTTATCATCAAATGATAGTAAACTTGGCACACTTCAGACCCCGCAGGTAAAATTTGTAGGTAGAAACATGGACTCCTGTTGAACACTAAAAGGCTGCTGACACCTAGGATAGAGGTTCTCAAACTGAGAATGGCAAAATTAACTTAATGGATTACAACCAACATTTAAAAATATAGAACATATGAATACATCCTAGGGTAAATATTATTTTGTGAAATCGGTTTGGTTTTTATATACAGCAGTTCCCCCCTTACACGCAGGTTAGCTTTCCGAGGTTTCAGTTACCCATGGTCAACCACAGTCCAAAAATATTAAGATATTTTGAGAGATGACATTCATATAACTTTTTTATAGTACATTATTATAATTGCTCTATTTTACTAGTGATTATTAATCTCATACTTTGCCTAATTTATCAATTAAACTTTATCATAGGTATGTATGTATAGGGGGAAACAGTATATATACGGTTTCCAGGGTTTCAGGCATTCACTGGGGATCTTGAAACGTATCCCCCACAGATAAGGGGGGATTACTGTGCTGGGTTTATGATCCTTTATCTAAAACTGTTGGGTCCAGATGTGTTTCACAATTCAGAATTTCCCAGAATTTAAGAAAAAGTTCCATAGTTGGATGACTACTGGGCTAAGTGGAGTTAAAACTATTACTCAGAGTGAATATAGCAAAGTACAACATTGGCAAGGGAGGTCCAGGATGTTCCTTACCTCCAAGCCAGCATCTTGGCATCAGGTAACACTACAAACAATAAGAGACAAAATCATTGGGGGTGGGGGAATAATATTAAATCTTTTTATCAGCTTCCACTTTTTTGCTAAATAGTATAAATTAATTCTCTTGCTGTCCCTTCCCAAGCTACAGGTAAATTGAGAGCTATTTCCAGTCTTTCCAGCTGGAAACCAGAAAAGTCAAGTAATCCCCAAGCCTGCCAAGACAATACATTCTGAGGAAATCTAAGCCCTGGCCTGGTTTTTGGTTACTTCTGCATGAAATTGCAATTTTCAGCTATGAATCATGGGAAGAATAAAGATCAACCCTGCTAGGAACAGAAACCTCCTCTCCCTACCAGCCAATCAAGAATTATTCTTCAAGTGCTATAGTTCTTTTAGATTTGTTTTCAGGTTTTTACGGGGGGTTGGGGGGGGAGAATAATTCTACAAACCTTTCCTTGTTAATACAAGCTGGAATATAAGCAAAATAGGTAGATGTGTCTTTCAGTGCTTGACCCAGTGACTGCAATTTCATAGCTCTGGTCTGGAACGTTCTTAGAATGTGCAGTTCTTTGACTTTCTCCATCCTTATACCTAACATTCCAAAGTCATCTACTTTGCTTTTCTATATAAAATCTTTCAGTCTAACAGACTTAAGTATCACATAGCTTTAAATTTTTGAAGAATAGGCAAAATAACCAATCGATTGCCTCGACAACAGGCTGTGATGTCTGCAAAACTTGCTTATGCTAAAGTTTCAACAGGGATTTGGCTTCTGAAAAAATGAGTGTTTCTGTTGAAAATTAGAGATGATACGGTTACACTCGCTTTTCTAGTTCACAAACCCCTAAGTTTCCAGGACTCCCTAGGCAGGGACTCCCTGGGAATGGATGGCCCCGGGCAGAATTGTGAAGTCATCACAAACTACTCCTCCTTATTTACTCCTTTCTCTCCCTGGAAGCCTTTCCTCTAATCAGACCCCCAGGATTCTTAGTCTTCTGATTTCTGTCAAACAGAAACAAGTTAAAACTATAAATTCTCAATTATCATTTAAAAAGTGCTATAGGAGGGTTTGGCATGGTGGCTCATGCCTGTAGTCCCAGTTATTGGATAGACTGAGGCAGAAGGATTGCTTAAGCCCAAGAGTTCAAGGCCAGCTTGGCCAATATAGCAAGATCTTGTCTCTGAAAAAAAAAATAATAAAAAAGTGCTATATACAGTGCAAAGATTAAACCAAAGGAATGAATTTCTGAATGATGGAACTTCAGGGACTTTGGTATCAGTGTAAGGTGTCTTTGAGTCAGAGGGTCTTCCTGGTACCTGAAGTCCACTCTTTGATGGCAACCATGTCCATATATACTCCTTAAGAGCTGACCTGCTCTCCTAAACTTGCCAACATGGGTCTTCCCACCAGTGTAGCCCATTTACCCTTAAGTAAAGGGTACAACAATCATCGCAAAATTACAAAACACAATTGAATCATCCTTTCACTCGTTTAGCTCAAAAAAAGCCAAATGAGATGAACTATACAATCATATGCCTGTGGAGCGGGGCATGCAACTAGGTTTAAAAATCAAAACTGGCTGGATTACATTCAGCAGAGGTAAAAATGCTTCCACCAATACACATTTACAACAAAAATTTCAAATCCCCTTATAAGTAGAAAACTTACTTCAGTCTTCAGCAAGTAGTAGCCTTAGTGCATGGTTTTGTGTGTGTGTGTATGCTCTTGAGGAAAATTTTTATTGCAGGGTTTTTCCTTCTCGGGTGTACATATTGTGAACAACAGTAAGATTTTCTCCTTTTTTGAAAGCAAAAATCTGTGGAGAAGGAGAAATCTCTCAGTTTACCCTTATCCAGGTCAACTTCTTCCATGTGATAGGGCTAAAAACATTTTAGGGTAAATGAAGTACCGTGTTTTAATGTATGAATACATAAAAAAATGGAATAGAGTCTTTTAAGGGGTGACAACAGAAACGTTGATAAAAACAAAGGAAATGAGAATGATGATAATGGCACAAAATGACCCAAACCTCTTCTGAACAGCTTGAATATGACATGAGTGCACCGAGGAATTGGTAGTGGTGTAAGAAATTTTTCGTGGTGGGGATTAAATTTGAACTAATGGAGTGGATAGCTGTGGCTGGTAAAGCTGGTGAGAGTTAGTTATAACGCTAATGGTACGGTAAAGGACTGGGCTAGTAAGTGCTTAAACAGTTTCACAAGTCTTTAGAAAGATTGGCACATGCATTTAAGTACCGGTCAGCTGCTGTGACCTTCGCGGCAATTCTAGCGTTATTCCCCTATATAAATTACCCGGCACCACCACCCCTGCGCCCCCGCCCCAAACACCTGCTACTTTAAATACATCGAATCTTTCCAAACTGGCTTTGAAGAGTTTCCTTTTTCAATAATATGTACATCGCCTAAGTACATACTATCGCTGATACCGACGTAATATGACAATTCAAAGGGAATCACCTCTCTTCTAACCTCAGGGAAACCCTCCCGCGTGGGCAGATTAGGGAGCCCGGGAAGACCAGCTGATAGATTAGGAAAGCGATTTTTCAGTCTAGTCCTGAGTCACTACTCCGCACTGTACTGCCTGGATACTTAATGGGAACGAATGTGACGCGCTGAATCCTCCGCGCTCTGGTTTTCCAATTCTTCCGCCGGTCTTGACAGAAGGGTCGTTCGCTATCGTGCGGCGCCCAAACCGAATAGCGGAAACGCCAGCCTCTCTTCAGACAGACCGACCGCCAAAGCCGAAACAGGGTTCAGTTCAGGGCTGAACTGGAGAACAGAGAGACGAAAGGCCAAGGAGGGAAAGGAGCGCCCTCCCAGGAGATCGCAGCGACCAGGCCAGCGCCCCGGAAGCTGCGCCCACCACCCCCGGCCGGTCCCGGGCGCCCTCTCGCGCCCCCCGCGCGCCGGCCGCCGTGGCACGTCCCGCGCGCTCCTTCCGCGCGCGCGGGGGGCGGGGCCGGCGCGGGGACGCGCGCGCGGGGCTGCGGGCAGGGGGGCGGGGCGGCAGAGCTCGGCGGCTGGGCCTGGAGGACAGCGGCAGCAGAAGCGGCGAGCGGTGGCGGGAACGGCGCCCAGAGGCCGTGCGGGACGCAGGCGCCAGGAAGGGGGGAGAACAGAGGTAACGCAGGACGGAACAGGCGGGCGGAGAGTGGGCGCGGGCTCGCTGGGCCCCGAGGGCGAGTGGTGCAGGCCGCTCACCCGGGGCGCCGACGCCGCTGCCCGAGAGGGGGCGGGGCGCCCCGGTCCCAGGAGGTGGTGCCTTTTGTCTGCCATCCCGGGCCGTCCCGCCCTCCTCCGCTCCCCCCTGCAACCTAGCCCCCTGCCCCTCTCGTTGACGCCTCCTTCGGGGCCCTCCGGCGCGCGCGCTCCCGCCCTTGTTTTGTTTGGACTCGGGGGAGGAGGGGGAGCTCTTCCCTGGCCTTGCGACCCTGCGTCCCAGCGCGCGTGCGCCAGCGTCCTCCGCCTGCCCCTATTGGCTGAAGGCTTGCGCATGCTCTGAGGCCCGCGGCGGCCCGTGGTCCGCCCGCGCCCTCCCCTCATCCTACTCCCTCAGCGGTTTTCGGAGCCGGTTCGAAAGATGCCGGCGGCGGTGACTGGCTGCGGCGGGCCCGCCCCCCGGGTTCTCCGCCCCCGCCGCCGTCGCCGCCATTACGGAGCTCCCAGTGGTGAGTGTGTGGAGCCGTGAACCTTGCGTGCCGCGGCTTCTGGCGTCGCCGGGACCGGCGCTGCCGCGTCCCTGCAGAGCGTGAGCCCCGAACTGTCACGGCGCTGAACCCTCGCCTCAGCCCTCGGTGTCCGCCGCGCTGAGCCTTCCCTGCCTTCGTCTCGGCCCTGCTCTCCGCCCCGCCCCACCCCCAGCCGTGTGCGCGTTCGCCGCTGTGGCCTTGTAGCGTTGCCTCGCCTTTGTGTCTCCGCTGCTTTTTGCCGGCTTCCTCTCTGCCTTCCGTGGGCGGGGTGTCACCTGTGGGCGCTGCTGCTGCGGCCTGGAGCTTTCGTTTTCCCGTGTGGCATACCTAGACCTTGTCACTCGCTGCACCTTGGCGTGTTTTGAATTAGAGCAGTACTTAGGTGGGTCGTCAAAAAGTTAAAAATGTCCGTATGAGCGTTTGTGAGAGATGGAGGCAGGAGTGGTGACTTGAGAGCTCCAGATCTGAGTTTTGATACCATATTGACCACTATCTGTTACCGAGGACAGTCACTTAACCTCTTTGAGGGACTGTTCTCTTCCGCACCATCAGAAGACTGGACCGTTGGACTGTACTGTCCCCTCTGTTGTCTGTTGTGCTTCCTGACTTTGCATTGCATTGAAAAGCGAGAATCCACTTAGAAAAACGTCTAGGAATTCACGTGGGACTTTGAGTAAGCTATCTTGTCTTAGAGCGAAGTTAGACGTAACTGGTGTCGTTTTAAAAGATACTTTAATTTTGTTTAATCTGGCATAGGCATAAAACTGTTATTAACTTTTAAAAATTTTATTGCTCTTAAAAGTGCAGCAAATTAGTGTAATATTTTTCAAAGTAGAAGTAACATTTGAAAGTTTTTTTCCTTGTTTTGGCTTTGTTTTTAAGCTTACTTGGAAAATTGAAGACTGGAAGTTGGTGGAGGAAGTATACTGAATTCTTCGTAAATAGATAAAAGCCTTAACTCTTCAGCCAATTAGATTGTGATTATTTTGAGGGAGGAACCAAGTAGTGTCCTTAGCATCCATGTCCACCATAGACGGTACATACTGAGTTCCTGTAATGTGAAAACAAATTTTTAAAAGTTGCCGACAATTAAATTTAGAGGTATGCTTTTGGTGACATGACCCGTTAAGTCTTAGTATAGTGAAAGACTTCAGCTTGGGAACAATTTGAGTTTCAGTGCGTAACTAATGACATTATAGTGTATACTGTATTACATATATTTTATAGTGAATTAAAAAATTATAGTACTTTCCCCAAAGTGCATATTATCAAGGATATCAGTAAACTGAAATACATTGTTAAACTTCTTGTTTTTCTGTTGCTTTCTCTTAATGTAGAGGTAGTAAATCATAAACTGAGATTTGGGGCTTTTTTCTTCTACAGTCCTTTCTTTATTCCCTACATTGAGACAATTTAAGCATTTCCCTTGACAAAAGCAAATCTTTGTATTGTTAATGTAACATTAAATTTAAAAAACAAAAAACGAACTAGTGACCACAGGAGGACCACATAAACCACAGATTAAGTCACATTATTTGTTTTGGGCACATATAAGAACCCAAGTGAAAAACATAAATAATGTTTGATTTGCTCTTTCATTTAGCAAATATTTGTTGAGTGTCTGTTCTATGCGTTTTATGTTCGTAGGCAACAAATATACAGTAGTAAACCAGCTAGATAAGATCCCCATCAAGGAATATGTATGACAGCCTAAAAGTCTGATCATTCAGAAGTGCATAGTTAAAAATTTAGTAAATAGATACATGGCGATCAAGGCAGTATGAATTAACCATACATATAGGTTTGTTACCTCTGTAACGAACAGTGAATTTATTAAATGACCCATTAAAGAAAGTACTGCAGATTGGAGCTTCAGCGATCTATGACCTTTACCAAGGAAATTCGGAGCTGAGGCAAACATTGAATATTTATCCCAAATAACTATGGGCTTTATATCTTAGGTATCCTTTATACATAGTATAGGAATAAGTACTGTTAGATATCATTGTTCATTCAGCTTTTTTTCAAGCACCTACTATATGTATGTTGGACATTGTTCTAGGTGTATTAAAGTCCTAGTCCTTGTAGTGCTTACATTCCATTGGGAGAGACACATAATAAACAAGTAAACAAACACATATTGAAATTTCAGGTGGTGTTAAATGCTATAAGGAAACCTAAAGAAGCCTGGGCCTGTAGTCCTAGCTACTTGGGAGGCTAAGGCAGGAGGATCATTTGAGGCTGCAGTGAGCTATGCTTTCACCACTTCACTCCATCCTGGGTGACTACAAGGCCCCATCTCTTTAAAGAAAAAGGAACCTGAATAAGAATGAAGGGATGGGGCAAGGTAGCTCCCAACCTGTAATCCTAGCACTCTGGGTGGCTGAAGCAGGAGGATGACTTGAGTTCAGGAGTTCAAGACCACCTTGAGCAAGAACAAGACACCTGTCTCTACAAAAAATTAGCTGGGCATGGTGGCACACACCTGTAATCAACCTACCCTGGAAGGCTGAGACAGGAGGATCGTTTCAGCCTGAGAGTTTGAGTGAGCTATGGTGACATCACAGCACTCTAGCCTGGAAGACTCTGTCTCAAAAAAAAGAATGATGGGAGGTCTTTCTGAGGAGACGATATGAGTAGAAACCTGATTGAAAGGTCCAGGAAGAGAGTGTTCCAGATTAAGAGAACAGTACGTGCAAACATCCTGAGGCAGGGAAGAACAGAGCACATTGCAAGGGCCAAAAGAAGGGTCAGTGTGTTTGGAGCCAGGAGAGTAGAGTGATGGGTAGAGCAGTAGGTGAGATGGGGGAAGGAGAGTTTGGTGATATTGGGAGGTTTTAAGAAGAATGTCAGGACCTATTTTTTTGGTGGATGCAGCCAAGAAGATTGGCAAACCAACTTATTTCTTAGTTATTCCAACCTTCCTATCTGGCCTAATTTAGACTATCATTCTTGTCTTTAGGTTAATGCTGTCTGGTGTCTTCATGAGCTTGTTTGCCTTGATTTTAATTTGGCCAGTTTTATCACTTTAAACATTGAGAATAGCTTTCTATGCCCCCTTATCCCTTTTTTAACTTGTTTGTTTTAATTTTGAGTAATTAGTGAATACAGAGTTGACTGGAAAGGTTTTGACATATTTTTCAGTATCTTGTTTACAGGAGAAATATTTTTAAGATACCTACGAACAGGGACTCCTGAAGGTTTTGTTGACTTCACAATAATGTTTTCAACCTAGCTAGTGTTACCATGAGTTAAGAAAGGTAGATTTATTAGTAATATCACTTTACTAAGGATAACCTAATCGTGATGTTTTCTTTCTTTATTTTTTTAGTTGCATGTACTTCCAATGAATGTTTTATTTCTGTATAGTGTTTGCATGCAAAAATATCAGCAGATTTGCTTAGGTTTGGTTTTTTTTTATCAACAAAAATACTATGTAAGCACCAGTTGGAGGAGTGAGCAGGTTTACATAGTTAAATTATCCCCAAGATAGAGTTTTAGTTTTCATAAACCTAAATAATTCCCTTAACCCAAGTTGGCCCTCTTTTTACTGATACGAAAACAACTACTTTCGTTACCGTGCTTTATAATTTCTTTCTTTTTTTTTTTTTTTTTGAGACAGAGTCTTGCTCTGTACCCCCCTGGCTAGAGTGCAGTGGCATCATTATAGCTCACTGCAACCTCAAACTCCTGAGCTCAAGCGATCCTCCTACCTCAGCCTCCCAGGGAGCTGGGACTATAGATGAGCACCAGAAACTCAGGGTCTCACTCTTGCTCAGGTTCTCAAGTGATCCTTGTGCCTCAGCATCCCAGAGTGCTAGAGTTATAGGCATGAGCCACGACCCCCTTGCCTGTATTTTATAATTTCTTGGAGTGAATTGCTACATGAGTATTTTGTATAGTTTTTTTTAACAGTTAATAATTTTAAATATTCATGGATATTCCTAGTTCACTATTGATGATAAGTTTTAGTGTATTGCACTAAATTCTTTCAGCTGCCTTTCCTTGCAGCTGATGGGCAGTTCACAAATCTGGTATTGCTCTTGGTGTTCTCATAAAAAGATTTTCCCTATACATGTGAAAGCGTTGTCTGTGTTTGAAGTTTTTGGATTTATCCTAGTTGTTGCTTGAGATTATTACCTGACAAGTTGAAAGCTCTTAAATTCTTAGAGGTTAAAGTAGAAGTTGAATGACTAGTCTGTCATCCTCCAAGTCTTTGT